TTATAGTAACAGGATGTAACAGATCCTCATCCAGATTCACCTCTACTAACGAGATCGTTCGAGTATTGATCGCTCGTACAGACCAACACCTATCGAAGGCGTGTACAGTTCTTCCCACGTGTTAAAAAGAGGCTTCTTTATAACTCTATACGGCTCGCATTTCTCGAAATGCCATCATATCAAGTGGAAGTAATTGCTGTTTATTAATACGGTTATAGTTACAGCCTTGATAAAAATGGCAGTACGATGAAAACGAGAATCCACTACGAGCGTCCGTGATGGAATAATTACGAGAAAAAGTCCGACAGCGGCGACTGATGGGATAGAGAAAATGAATTGCTTGGGAAATAAATCTCTCACAGAAAAAATATGTTACTGATATTTTATTTTTATTAGAAAAAGATGTATATAAAATTCATAAATAAATAGGGCGCTGACACAAAAGTCGTTACGAGTCACATGTAAAAATCTTTGTGAATTTTTTTAATCCAGAATTTAACTATGATAACATTAAAACAACAATTTGATCAATAATGATGTATTTATTGTCGTAAACCGTATGAGACCGTGCACTGGTAGCTGGCCGTCAGCCAATGTTACAAAAACATAAGGTTTTCAAAATAGCAAATTCTCTGTTTTAATACACCCAAACATCACAAAACGCACCAGAATAATACGATCTCAAATCCTTATACTTAATGTCAACATTTTTATTTCAATAATTAATCAACAATCATTATACAATTATGAATCATAATTTAATTTGTAAAAGTTCCTTCAATAGTTAGCTTTGTGAATGTTCTTGTAAAGACCATATAATTTTTCCATTTCATTACACATACATACATATAATCGTATTTGAGTAACACAACATTGGCACCGACTGTCTTGTGATGTAGGAATCTCTTTTTTAATATTAATCTCTTGGCATTAATTCTACTTTATATATAGTACGGTTATATCATAAATTGAGTTAGATTGTTTATCTTGTTCTTATAATTATCGTTTGCGTCGTAAAAAATTTATCCTATTTTAAGTCCCATTTATTTTGTTTATCAAAGAATTCACTGATACTCAAATGGAAAGCAAATAAGAAGACGATTTGAAATCATTAAATGTTATCTGACTATTTCCTTTCACAGTGCGACATATATCGTCCATATAAATCCTAATATAGAGTTTGTGATACATATTAAATGAGGATTGCCAAACTATTTGATCCAAAGCAATATTCGTAATCCGGCTTAGTTCTTGTTACGTTCCATACGAGATACTATATCTTGTAAAGGATCTGTACTCAATATGAGATTTGCAGTTATACCTACATATATATAATATATTAAAAAAATCTTTATTTGTCTGTTATGCATAGTAATTATACTTACTACTTGAATCATTTCTTTCGTAGGAGTTTATTATACCAACCGCTACTTTACTTTCATTTAAACTATAATAATAAAAAAAGGTTAACATTTTTGATTTTTAGGTGGATGTAAACTGGTAATAAGGATAACATACTTTGTACATTAAACATAATGAAATAAAGGGCTAAGGATTATAGACAAAGACAAAGAAAAAGGTGATTGCACGACCGCGGAAACTATGTTGAAGGTCGTGTTATGATGAAACAGTTTTGCTTGGTGACGTGTCCAAGCAAGGAACCTCGCAACTATCCTAACGACATTCATATATTCGTATATTTAACTATCTTCCGCGTTATAACACCCACAGCTACATCTGAGTCTCAGGTTTTATGAGAGGGACGCGAATGTATCGTGTAGGTTGTATTGTCTCAAATTATAATATACTATTACTTTTTATGACAAATTTCATCACTATCCGGACGCAGAATGACGAAGTACATTTACATCACAAGTACAGTGCATATTTTTTTTGCTATAAAATATATACAAATCATAATCGTTATTTACTTTATTAATTGCCTACGGCTCTGTCCATTGGATGATGCTCATTATTGCAATATTTACCATTGTATTTTTTATAATTAACGCGACATCTTTATATTTTTTCTGTAATCTTTTAAATTAATTTTGCAAATTATGTGGTGTTCATATAGGGTAAAAATTACGGTATTTATATTAACTTTGCATACCCTTATAAAGAAATAGTTTCTTTAAAATCCATGCACTTTTTTTAAGTGACACACACAAACATCGACTCAGTCTTTGGCATTCATAATATTAAAAGAACTAGCTTGTCATCTTTGGAACGAACGGGTGTGGTGAAGGCATTTAACCAAATCGTATTTATTTCACAGTACGTATGTTATTAAAAAATATTTTTTCATAAAAAATTATCACAACTTACAAAGAATTGTAAAGAAACACTCATAAATACTGCATAAATATCGTATGAAAAACTTTTTACTTTTCTAGATTTTTTTGTATAATTTTCTTCTCTGAAAACCTTGATATTGCAATTACAAATACAAACGCAAAAACTAGTTAAAATAAATCAGTAGTTTGCAAGCAATTCGGTAACGCCCAAAAAAGCTGACCGAGTGAAACAGCAAAATATGATAGGTCATAGATAATTTAGAGAATAATTAAATTACAAAACAAAAAAATTACAGACAACTACGTGACTTGAAGCGAGTCTTCGACATTCCATTAGTCAAATGCGAGGTGAAAATTTTATGTTTATACAATATGGAAACAAATATGGTAAGAGAGTTATCACGTTTTGGATGCGACGGAGCAAAGAAGTCATGAACACGAGATTAAATAAGCTAAATGTTATAACTTATAAGCAAAACGATTGTCGAATTGTGAACATGATAACGAGGTAACGCGTCATAGCCAATGTATAGTAGTTAGAGCTACATATACAAACATACTACATATAATATATACTGATACAAAATATCTTAATGAGATCTAAGAGTTTCGCAAGTATTCATTTAAATGAAACTAATATTTTTCGGATGTACTACGCGATTTTTATTTTTGATTATAAACTACATACTCCCGACGTTTCGGTTTTGATAGGTAAACGTGATGGCTTTTAAAATTGGATTTATTAAAATAACAAAAAATTAAGGCAGTTTAAGGAACTTTCTTTTCACTTAAGATACAAGCAAGTAAAGATACAAGAAATCAACTAGTTAAATTTATTGTAGCCCGTGTACTTGACCTAGGTATTAAAATTGGTCTCCATCAATTTTGATGTAAGTTGTAACCACAAACTCAACCAAAGGTCTCTCGTAAATCGATTTCATTAGTTTACATCTGTTTATCTAGTTGCATAAATTAAAATTAACATTCCCATAGCTTGCAACATCGTGACTCATTCATATAAAAAAACATATTAATATGTTAAAAATGTCTGATTTATTATTGAAAGATATCATTGGAAACCACATAGATACATCATTTTTATCTTAAATATGTGTGATAAATAGAAGGTTTGGTGCAAATTGGGTCATGGTCCGCTCATTAATCTGTTAAGAAAGTATTACGTACACAGTACTTTCTTTTCAAGTATTTTGAATTGGACTATATTAAACTTCACATCAGTTAGAATAAAAATCTTTCTTGTAAAGGTCATATAATGACCCAGCCTTTTATTTTTCGGACCTTGATATACGAAAAATTATTCCGCGACCAACAACCCAAAGTAACTAACATCCATCTTTGTGACAACTTAATTACCATTAATTTAAACACTTTCTTGTTTAACATATGTTCGTTTTGATTGCTTGATTGTTATATAATAATTTAATTCAATTTATCATCATAATATTATTCTGTATTAATTTTTTTTCGTTTGTGATAAAAAAAATATTCGAATTCATTGTCTATCTATTAGATTAACGTATCTCAAGTTGTTAATTTATAGACATTTTCATGATTTCCATCGGAGGACTTTTTAATACATATATATATAACATCATCTGTATGATTCCAGGATTCCGTTTGACTTGATTAAACAATTATTATGAACATGAGCAACAAATCAAAGCATAATTACATTAGAAGCGGAAGATGGATTGCTATTAGAGAGAAAATACGACAAATGAAACAAATCGCTTCTGAAAGATCAACGCGATTCTTAAATTAATGTCCCTCATTCGTGGTTCTCTAAAAATTATTTTTGATATATGAATTAAGAACAGTTTAAATTTCTTACAAAAACATCATGTACGTATGAATAAACAACTTAATGACGTCTGAATCACAAAATCCTGATTAATTATGTTATAAAAGATAACGACGGAAGCGGAAACGGCTTTGTAAAGAAAGTTAATATGTTAAATTGTAACATTATAAAATTATGACCTTGTCAGTTTAACCCTTAGTTTTCATCCCGTATAGGAAAAATTCTAGTAGATTAAATCAATAGAATGTAAAAGCAATTTAAAACGACCTCTGATCTCTTTCTGATAATTATTTTTTCACTAACAGATCAATCTAAACATGTTCAGTATTTTTTCATTAAATAAATTACAGCACGATCAACTATGACTGTGACTAGTAACTAGGGCTGTAATCATGGAATTTTTCAGTTTATAACAACATTATTAATAGCCATCTCAAGTCATGTTAAAGATAATAAAATAAATATTATCACAGTGCGATAACAGCTTGAATTATAACTGTTTACATTATTGTTTGACTTGCTCGCATTATTATAAAGAGCTTGTTACTTTAAAAAAAACATTATCAAGAACACAGGTGTTAGTGTCGGTGAGTTATTACAGACATCCAGGTTTCAACCCTGAAAACGGCACAGAGCGTTTAAGAACACTTAATGACATGAGTTGTCGGCCAGGTCAAGGAGAACATGTGGCATAGTACTGCATTAACACATTGCCATTCTAATCCCATACACATACAGTTGTAACTGTTAGTACCGATAAACAAAATTACTGTCACTCTATAAATAGTTTACATTAATTAAAATCTTAAAATCGCATTCAATGTGAGCGGTGTCATACGTATATGTCTTTTAAAACGTTTGTCATTTTATTCGGGTAATACCTGTTTTTGAGCATGTTATCCGGTACGAAGACATTCCACCACGAGGGTCGTTTCTGTCGTACATAAGCGGGTGCGTCTCCCTCTTCGTCGGTGTCATTGCCACCAGATTTCCTCCTCTTCTTTCGCTCCAGCTGTAGTCGCGCAGCCCAGGACCTCCTGCGGCCTTTATCACTGGGCCCGTACCCGTCTACATCGACGGGAACGGCCAGTGAGGCCCGGCGAGGCAGGTCCGGCGGGGGACCGTCGAATTCTGTCAATTTTCTGTACCGTTCAGCGAATGTTGCATCTGAAGCTCTCCTACCATTGGATGATGACGGTGACGGTGCATTAACTACTACGGCGTCAACATAGACGTCGTCATCATCTGTATCTTGTGTATAGTTTTCTTCGCTGAAACGTCGAGGGCTTTCGTCGATAGCTTCCTGGAGGCTAGCTAGCGGCAGGCTCGGCCGGTGGGTGCGTAAGCCTCTCGGCATTCTCCCAGGTCTAGCCTGGAGACGAGCCAGAGCTAAGGGCACTGGCGACTCTGTTAGAGTCGGTTCACTTCCACTCATTGTTTACTCACTGTTTCACTTTACACGTGTTAAAATTTTTCGACGTCTATTTTATCAGTTTCAGGGACAAAGAGTAGCTTAATAGAAGGAATGACATATTGTCTGAGAAATGTTCCTTTACTTTTATACTGTCACAAAAAAAAACAATTTATGTCGCACTTGTGTCATATTACATCAAAAAGATATATTTTTATAGCAAAAATACATATTGATTTTAATTTATAAACGTTTGCTTAAGGAAATTGAGTATGAATCAGTTAAAAATATAACAGTAATTACTATTCTATTCACATATCTGTGTATCATAAATTATATTTTACTATATACGAATTTTACAACAATACTACACTTTTGTTGTTAAAATTCATGAATATTCATAATACCATCTGAAGAGTAACAATAGTTATAAATTTAGCGAACGTTGAAAAAACAATGCTAGGAGTATTATCATCTATCAAATGATTATATCGAGAAGTATAGGTACTTAAATATAAAGCGTGGCAATAATAAACGACTACACTACAAGCTTGATAGCCACCTTGAAACCAAATATTTTAATAAAAAACAATTTATTTATCTACTTTCGTTATTTTCATGAATAAAAACTGGATTCTGTAACTAAGCAATTTCAAAACGATATTTAGTAAATATATTTTTCAATAGCTTGATATTATTTAATAACTAATGTTATAGATGAGCAAATTCTGGACGAAATATATATACGAACGTCCGAATTATCGAAATCAGTAAAAGCGGGTGATGATTTATTTTTAGCTGCTATACGAATGGAAAATCTTTTACGAGTTCGTACTAAAAAGGTAAAACCTTGTTTAGTATGAATTACATAGCTAGTACATCGTTTGTACAAAACACCGGCGCTATTCCATATTAGCTGGTGCAGCTTTCGTAACTGCATAGTCGTCATCGTCTGGCAGGCGACGGTAAGGGGAAAGTTGCCACCGGTTCATATAAACGGTTAGTCTTACATTACTAAGGTCGATTTCATTATCACAGTCTACTGTTCACATTTAACGATAGTCCTATGACGTCAATATGTAACCAAAAATATATCAAAATTAATTTAATCAGTGGATCTGTATTCGAGGTGCGAGTCTCCGCCCGTGTAGACATTAGACAACAAGTGATCTAAATAGCTAGAAAAACAATCGCACTAAACGTCCAACATACTCCATATGAAGGTCGCTCTTCAATTGAGTTTATTAATTGTCTCTCATTGACATTATAAAGCGCATTATTATAAATAGCAACGTTCTATTAATTATACGCGCAATTAACAAACACTATGAAAACATAATTTCATCATCACCTATAGGACAGTGCATAAAAATCATAATTTTTCTCGAAATTAAATATCGATTGAGTTTAAGTCAAGGAATTAAACGTCCTTGTTACGGATACAGTATCGAAGTCTGCAAAAATATACCGGGTGTGCAAAAAGGCAGGCCAGAGGTGAACCACTCGGCGGCCATCAATCAGGCAACAATGCAGTCAATGTCATAGGAAGATAGACACATACTGGACCTTTTTGGTGCGCTTTTAATTATAACCATATCTTTCTAGCTATAAAAATTAAATATAACTGGAATAATTACAAAAAAAAACATATATTTCTATATATCGCGAAGGAAGCTGTACCTTCTTTTGTGAAAGATAAATTTAATTCAAACATCTATCTGTAGATGTGTTAAAATTTAAGGTAGCCAAGATAATAGTGTTTTTTATACCGTTCGCTACTACCGACGGACGGTTGATAGAGCACGAACAATCCCTCGTTAACTAGATGGTTGCGGTGTTTTGTCAGTCTTATCACACGTCTCACCTACACCTACCCGCCTCATGGATATTAAACTGTTTAAGCCCCTACTTAAGCTACTCCGTCTACTTCACATAAGTACTGGCAAATTATGATTTCCATAACAAATAAACATGATTAGATAATCATTGCTAGCAGCGTGAAAACATTATCACGGATGTATTGTGTGTTACATTAACATGTTTATATGTTAATATATATAACACGATGTGTTACTTTATATTGACACACAAAAACGAAAATTGATACATTGGAATACATTTAACACTATGATAGACAGACGTAATGTAGAGCCGGTATGATAATCTGCAGTACTTTTTAAATGTACTAAAATTTATTATTATAATAAACAGTATCAATTGAACAAGGTCTGAGTTATCATTAAACTATTCATTATTCACGAAACAATACGATATATGTTTAACAGATATTATTATGCATATATGTATGTGTTTATCAGAATAAACAAATATTTGGTCGGAGATGCAGCTACAGCCGAGTCTCGTCCACAAACAGTCGTCACCAGCCTTCAGAGAATATTAAATAAGATACTAATGCCGCTTGAATACAAATGGAATGACAACAACAAAGAAAAACAATCTGATTAATACAATTATAATGAGACTGGATTTAATTTCGATCATTTGTATGATATTCATACAAGCATGTTTATTATGTAGGAAATTATTTAATATGAATCAAGTATGTACTGGTTGTGATATTTGTGAAGGGTGTCTTTGAAATGATTGTAATATTGCGATACTCCCCAAGTGGATTTAATTGTTTTTCCAGTAATGAGAGGTACTTCAATGTATATCAAATAGAAACTTCTTAAAGATTACTATATATGCTTACGTTATAAACAATGACTAAACGGAACAAAACAATATTTTCCTCAACATTAACAACTAATTGTTTGAAGTTTACAAAACTTCTTCTCTCCATTACAAGTTGAATGAAAAGAAAGTGTTTCTTCGCATTCATACGTTTCTATGTTAATTGTAGTACCAAATATTGACACGTCATTTAACAACGTTAGATATGAAAAAAAATGCTTTCTCGCCCATACGAAACATGCGGTACTCTAAGCATTTGTATAAACTTGTACAAAAATTTATATTACCCGACGATAAATTTAAAAAGGAAATCTGTTAACTATAAAATTACATATTTATTAACAATATAACATCGAATGTTTCTTTAAGCACGTTTCATATTCGAAGCATGACTAACATACATAATATAATACCCCAATTTGCAACTGTCACAAATAAATCTCACTGAACGCTCTTTAGAATCTCTTCGACCCCATTCCGAGATACGAAAGAGAGATATACCTTAGCGAAACAAAAATATTCTTCATTTCATAATAAATTGATGTACATATAAAATTAATATAGTACATTAATGTGCTTAATTCAATGAATGTCATTGGAAACGAATGAATTAACAAATTATATGAATGTAACACCGGTTTATATTTTATAGACCAGTTATTGGTCAACTTACTTCCTATTGTTTTTTAATATTTCGATAAAATTATACTACAAATTTAAACAGTTGGACAGTTAAAAATAAATGTTATTAGAACAAGCACGATTACATAATAACAACACTGGTAGGTAATCAGACTGTAAAATTTAAGACAAAAAGTACATCTTGATAAAAATTATGCGTTTAATTTCTATATTATAATTCATATTAAACCTGACATGTATAATATTAATGTCTGGGAGTAGATTAAGAATATTTCCCGTGAGGAAAATAAAGTTCCGGACAGAAAAGGAAATGATCTGGTATGATCTCAATGGCGTTGATATAACTAGGATGTTGGTATTAGAAGTACGGGCTATCATTAGAATGCATTAATAGATTCCTTATCAAAGGCTTCTCATCCATGAAGGTCTACTGGAGTCAGCTTTATACCCTTTAATACATATAACCAACAAAAAATACCGTTTTGTTGTGATAAAATAACATAATATATATGAGTCACTTTCGCGTGTTAAATTAAAATCGTAACCGGAACATTCTAATTTGTTTAGTTCCAGAATGAGTATATTTAAAATACTTATATTTGTCGCACATTATATTTCATATAAAAATATATATGAGAAAAAATTTATAATGTTAAATATTATAAAACATTAATTAAATTACTATTCCACAATAAAGACTCTGACCTCATTTTTTTCTACACATTACACAAATGGTCACAGTGCTTGATATTACACAGTTTAGCCGCTCTAGGGTTGTATTTGAAGATATTGCGTAGAATCTGATTAAAAAAATATCTATAGCTGTCAAAAATATATACTTTTATCTTCATCATTTATAAAACAAACAAAAAAACGCAACAAAAAGATAAAACAATAGCACTTTTTAATACAAATATAAACTTCAAACGTAATTTCTCTACACCTAATGTTATTGTTTCAACCCTGACATAACATAATTCTCAAGTTACGTCTATTGCTAGAAAAATGTGGGTCGCGTCCGATTTCAAAGTGCAGCAGGACTTGCATAACTACTAAGTACAAAACCGATTCGCAAACTAAAATAATACATTAGGTGACATTGATGCTACAACAGAAAGTTATAAAAAGAAGATAAGATTATACTATCACTAAAGAATAATCAGATTTATATATATGTATTATTTTTATATGAAGCTAAAATATTGTAATGACAAATTTTATATTGAAATCAGTATACGTGATGAATCTCACATACAAGAACTATAGGCTTCCGATATAACTAGTCATTGTTATTAGAAAATATATTGTTAATACACCGTAATTGTAATGAACAAAAAACAATAAATTAAAAGGTAAATTCAATTAATTAGTTTTATATATATAAAAGTGTATTTATAAAACGCGTATTGTTCAAAATGTAAAACCATTTCCAGTGATGCAAACAAATGGGACCCGCCTACGGCTCGCTTCATATATTAGAGCTTTTCTCTGCAGATTGCTATCGTATATTAAAATTATATACTTTTTTCATTTTAAACATGAATCTTTATGCTCATTTCGTTTTCATTATCATTATTACAATATAACTTCTGTCCAATAAATTTTAATATCTATGAGAGATAGTATAGTTGATGCTTGTTATTTTGACACAAAAACTTCTTAACTGAATTCTATATAATGACATTGAA